AGACGTTGATTTACAATCGCATTTTTTTCAGAAGACTATGATGATCACAATTTGAATTAGAATCACATCCTCAAAATTCTGGTGGTTGCTTGCAGACACTGTGACGTATTTGGTGACGTCACGGTTCTGCAAGACGTTAGTTGTACAGCCATTGCCGAATCAGTTAAACAGTCCTTAATTAGTGCCATGGAATCCAGCCAAAAGTTGCCTACACTGACTTTAAATACGGTTATTGTTCTCTTCTTGTATTTTTTTTTTGGAATATAACCGTTTGATCCAATGGCTCTTGATGAAGCTACAATTGATTTTTAATTAACGCAAAATACATTAATAAATTAATAATTAAATAAACCAACAAATCAACATACAAATGAATACACAAAAAAGGGGTTGTATTACAAGTAAACGTTGAGTTGGGTCAGTTCTAATTTTAATATTCTTTGCGTGGAAATTCAGATTTTGACCTTTTCACCACTTTCTCGCCCAATATTTCTTCAGTATTTCTGTAAACGAACCATAATTTTATAGCACACAAAATTTGAATCAGTTTTCAGTTTTTACTAAAAAAAATCGTCCCAATCTTCTGAAGGAAAGTGCAGACTATAAACAGGGCTGTTTTGTAAATTTGTGATGAAAAGAGGGAACTGGTGGTGAAAAGGTAGATTGTTTGGTTAGTACTGTTATCGTCGTACTAAATAGCACACCGGTAAATGTGGCGTGAGACCTATACATACAAAGATAGTTCTGTGCATGCGCACTCTGCATCTTTAATGAAAGATGGCGGACATTCCATGGTGTGAATAACAACACGTAAACAAATCAGTTGTCGGACAGAAACATGTTGACTTTCAGCAAGATATTGCATTGATTTGAATCTATGATGGCAACAACCCGTCCTAGGGAGCGGGAAGAAACATGGGACAAGCTGCAAGAGAGGTAAGTTCATGCTTTAACCAACACAAGTAGCAACACTCGACCAGCGAGATAAAGTCGAGTTTTACTACGGCCGGACAGGGAAGCAAACGAACGCTAATCTATTGAAAATGATCAATCTGAGAAGGTTTATTTTACTTCCATGAACAACTCCACCACCGAGGTACAATAATTTCATTATTGTTTTCTCACCTCGGAAGTAAGATTTAGATTAAATCTAAAATCCTCGCGTATTTTGCGTGATTTCCGTTTCCGCTGCTTGTAGTTGTACTTGTGTTTGCCGTTAATCGATACGGTGAAAGCTTGCCATTATGTCTGACGTAAATAGATTCAATTGTGAAGTTTCCAATCTCAGTGTTACCTTGCATTATATATTTAATCAATAAATTGATCTGCATAATCCGAAGAGAAGTGCACAGTGAAATCGGTCTGGGTATGGAGGTAATCACAGTCCCTCTATAGAGGGACTGTGAGGTAATGGAGTATTGCCGTCTCTCCGCATAATTCTGAAATTATATCAACATTTTATTAGCACATAAAAACGAGTTACAATGTCATTTAATAGTCACCTTTGAAAAGGCAAATGCTAGCAAAAATTTAAAAAAAATAACAAACAGAAAAAATTAGTAGAACAAAGCTATTAGACTAAGTTCCCTCTAAATTCCTTCATAGAGGCACAAATTGTCTTAAAGGGGAACCGCTCAATCCCAGGGATTGCACTAAAGAATCATGGGACACTATTGTTTATGTTGTTTACAATGTTAATCTATCTTTTGTTATCCATTGTTATTTTAATCCAGAAGGTAAATTTGTTGTGAGATTAGGCTTAACTGGAAGGTGCCCCTTTAATGAATTTTCTGATTAACATGGTTGTTTCTCTCCTAAGAGTATTATTCAATGTTCATAATGTGCTATTCAGGGATCGCGCCACGCTTGTCAGCCCGTCCGGCACACAAAATTAGTGACCACCTATAAAAAGTTTCCAACTAGGACAATTGTCCAATTGTTATGGGTATTTTAATAATGCACCAAACACATCCTTCCAGTCGTAGACTATAATTTGTAAACAATGGACCTAGTCACACAACGTGGTAGCTACTTATAAACAATACTGGTCAATTTTGTGAATTTTCCACTTCATTTTTTGTAAGCAAGCACTTTCTGACGATACTTAATTTGAAATCTAAAATTCTTTCAAAAGCACTTCTACTCTGATATTTAATGGTCAAAGTGGAGGTCACAATCTGTTCACACTACTAATGAAAAAGCAACATTATTTATTGTGTAAGTGGGTACAATACATTTCAATGTTGCGAACGATGTCAATACTCTTCATTCAACACTTCTTTTACTTCTTAATTAAGTATCAATTCAATGATTTTGGTATCACAAGTATCTTACAAACATATTTCTTTTTTACTGTCCCCTTGCTGACAAAAACCTGGCACTTACCAGAAATATACCGGTACTACCCGGTACAATATTTTCTGCACTTGCTGATTTTCAGAATGACATTTTTACCTGTGAACCTAGTTCCACTCCGTTGTGGTAAACCACATCCCTTTGTTGTATCATGGATTCATTGATGCCATTGTTTTCATGACTTCTGCTCTGAAGATAATCTTAGCTAGGGGACCAGATATGAATTTTCAAATTAGTACAATGTAGTTTTGCATTCATTACAGGAAGTTGAAAATGGTGGTGACAGATTCTGTTGTAAATTCCAACTGAGTATCAGAAAATGATGAAATAAAACAAAAACAACACGTATATCTGAATTTAAAGCGAGGGAGTCGTCACCGGCGCATGCGTCAGATGGCCATAGCGTGTCAATGTTTACAAACAAGCGTCTACCCATGAGCCTTTGCATTTTTAGTGTGCGCTGTTATCGTCGTTCGGGACTCAATTCCCGCGTGTGCGCAGGTGACCACCCTCCTGCTTTAATCTACATTTTGTACACAAGCCAGAATGAAACAGCAATTCTGTGTTTGTCAACAAGTCCCTATCTATCGAATATATCCCATTCAAAACGTCATGGCATCGTCGTTAACATGAAATTGAAATTATCATTCTTGAATTTACATTTAAATCCATCTCTTGAAAAAGTCAAAACCCCTCACAACTCAGCCAAAAGTCTTCCAATTATCATGTTATTCTCATTTCTGTTCTTGTTTTGATATTTTCAAAACTGATACAATAGGAATCACAATAATCCCACCACAAGCCTCTACACATCCTTGTCAGCAGAAGTCAGCGGAGAAAAAAACAAGTGCATACAAAATAATAATCAACTCAAAAAAAAGTAGGATTCATCAAAATACATTATGAATTTTGCTGATATGTAAAATTGATTACATGTACAAACAATAGAGTATGTTTCCTTGTTAAGTCTGTTAACTTAAAACACAGTAAAATTGCTCAAAGCATTAAAATAATGAAATAAAGGCCTGTGAAAATAAATGGTTTTATGGTAAATGTTTTTTTCATGGATACATGCAAAATTAATTACACTGTTTACCATGACTTTTATCACCAGACTTTATTGCCCAAATTTTTCTGTACTTTTTTCTTATATTCTTTAATATTTTTGGAAATGAATCATAATTTTTAAGTCAACAAACAAAATTTGAATCAATTTTTGCTTAAAAAATTTGGTTATTTTTGTCCAAATCTTCTGAAGGAAAGTACAAACTATAAAATGAACTAGTTTGTGAATTTGTGATGAAAAGAAATAACTGGTTGTGGTGAAAAGATTAGAGATTGAAAAGAAATACTACACATACAGTGTATATTGTTGTACACTTCATGCAGATTATTTCTCTACATCGTAGATTGCAAAGAAGAAGAAAAGATCAATTGTCTCGAACTGGTACTGCAAGCAGTAACAATTCATATCGTAAAACGCCCCCTAGAGGTAGAAATGGATATCACAGAACACCACCTCCCAGACATCTACCAAGGTAAGATTTAGTTGAGTTGACATACTGTGAAATCTGTATCAGAATACCACGGCTTAGCACTCGTTCTAGTGGAAAAATGTGCAGAATGTGTTATTTGGAGGGGTATTACTCACGTTGCGTTGCATTGTAGAACATGCTAGTCACATAATTATTGCCTGAAAAGTGTTGTATTACATTTTACATTACTATAAATATGATTAATACTTTCCTTAGAAATGAATTTTATAATTATTATTACATGTTTTTTGATGGGCATTATTTTATTCCAATAAATCTCCCTGTATTTCCAGATTTTGGTTGAGTCGCATGGAGGTAAATAAAAATAAAAAGAACATACACTTTTATTCTTTTTATTTGCCATGGATAAGTGATACATGAAGTGTACGTGAATCCTGATTTCAATGCAACATTTGTCAGTCAATAATTACGCTACAATAATACATCCCATTGGTGACGATGAGAGGACAATGCTCCTTACATTTTGTACATTTTACCACTAAAACGAGTGCCATCTCAGCACTAGATCTACCGGGGTAGTACATGTATCATTTCAATACTAGATCTAATATCATTTTTTCATTAGAGCACCATTTTACCATGCTACTTGCACTGACCACTCATTCTGTGTTGATACTGTGTCCTACTACCTACTACTACTACAACTACATATAGTGGTGTCATTACTTCTTTCTACAGTCTGGACTCCCCGCCTGGTTATATGACAGCTCCAGTTGATTCACCAGTTTCTGGTCCTTATCCAAGTCTGGGACCACTAAGACGAACCTCTTATGAAGTTGTACCACCACTGATGCCACACATTGATGCATATGAAAGGTAATTATGCTATTATAGAACCTCATAAACTCTTTTTAAATACATTTCAGGGTATTTTAATTGAATTAAAGGACAATGAGGGTAATGCTGCCCATTAATATGTGGATAAATCACCAATATCAGAATTAGAGATTTTTATGACATCATGGTTTAACATTATCACATGATAATGTTAACCTTTACTTGCAAGAAAATTCTTTTTAAAAGTAAGCCCCTAAATTTAACTAAATTTGTTTAATTCTGGTGGTTGTGATTTATACATGTAGCAACAATAATGAATCCCCCATAGCGTAATATTGGATTCATAGAAGAGTGAAAATGCCACACACATTATATTGCCATAGACCATTCTAATCTACTGTAAAATACTTCATTTTAGCTGGAATTATTTTATTTTGTATGGAATTTATTTTCACTAATTTTTGACAAATTGAATATAAAACATAGGAAAAAATGTATATTCGCTGGATTTTATTTTCACTGAATCATCCCTTCAGCGAAAATTAGTTCCAAGCGAAAATAAAGTACTGTAAAATGACTAATTTTCACTGTGTTTAAATTTCACTGATTTACCATTTCAGGCATATTCAGTGGGTTTTAAATTCACGGTTTTGTCAGTTAGATAATGTGTTCTATGCTAAATTTTACAAATTCACTGTGTTTTAATTTAGCGCATATTCCAGTCAGAGAAATAAGCTAAATTAAAACCCAGTGAATAATTACCCCCTTTACAGTATTCTACAGTACATGTATACCAGTATATACACTTGCTATGCTTTGTGGTATTCTCGTCATACCCTTGTAGTGTCATGGTAGTTTACATCTACTGTACA